AGTCGTATAGGCTGAGCATCACATGGTGTACCAGTTGGTTGGACTAATTGTTTCCATGAATCTTTGGTTTTCTTCATTCTTATTTGCTCTGGGCAAGGAGAGACCTATCCATACATCTAGATGGCTGCTTGCAAGCTTTTAAGATCCCAGTGCTACTCCCCAAAGTAGGATGTGGAATGATGTTTTTGTGTAGTATGTTATGCCAGTTGAGCTTGATGTCCCCTGTGACTATGGTCCAGAGCCCACAGGTCCAACTACTTGCTCCCTCTAGGTAGCTAGCTGTGGCTAAGACGTGACTAAAAACTTGTCCCTTGTCAGCTCTGCTATATACATGGGAATTCTTTTTTTTTTTTTTCTATTTATAAAATTACATGTACATTTAGTTTCACTCCCCATTTACTATCCCCAACCCTAACCCAGTCTCCTCCCTTCCCTGCTCAGTAACCCTTCCCCCATGCCCCTCCTAGTTATGCACTCCTGTGTGTCCTGCATTTCCTCCTTGCGAATGCTGCCCCTCTGGTGCCCCGTGATCGATTGCTCCAAGGGATGCATTTCCATAGAGTATGTGGGTGCATCACCCTGGGTTGAGTGGTCTGCGTGTACATCTTGTTTACTATTGTGCTGAGAGCCAGCCTCTGGGAGTGAGTTTTATTCCAGGCTCAGAATGTATCCCAGGGCCACAGTATTGGGGCTTTCACCAGACTCCATCCGACCAGTAATTCTGGTCATTCTTGAGTTTTTGGATTTTGTTCCACGTTTTCCCTTCCACTCTATCTAGGATCTCCAGATCTGATCCTTTCCTGAATGGTTGGCATGGGTAGCTGGGCACCATCTAGTTCTTCTGGTCTCAAGGGCCATTGTGTCCTAGGGCTGATTGCTTCCAAATGTCCTTGTTTTTTTTTGCACTCTTTTTCACTTCCAACGATAACAGACCATGCTGCATCTTACATGGTTGCTTGAAAACTTTTAAGACCCCAGTCGCTACTCACCAATGTAGGATGAGGAACAAGACTTTTATGTATTTTGTTGTCAATTGAGTCTGGTGTCTCCCATTACTATGGTCCTGAATCGGTAGATCTGTTGGATCTCTCTCCCACAGTGTCTGGCTGTCTGTGAGGGATTACTCTATGTCTGCCTTCTGTTGTTTCTGTAAGATTGGGGGTACTTTGTATCACTGGTATCTGTGCAAGATTAGCCTCCGCCAAATCTATCTTTGGTCTAGAGCATACTCCTGTTCACTAACCCCCATCTGATCTTCTCAGACATTTATGTGTTTATCTGTAGCCTTGTGTTTGGTGTTAATGGTAATGTAGTATTGTGGATATACTGGTTGGTATTAGCATCTGTCATCTATCACTTATGTGCGCAGTTCAGCATCCTCCCTTTTCCTAATGCTATCATGGTCACCAACTCTTTCTATACCATCCTTCCCCTTACCCACGTCAGCGTGTGGCCCCCAACTAGCCAGAAATTAATCCTTCCCCTTCTGTCCCCACCCTGGTAATCTACAAAGGGAGTTCCCTTTCTCAAGCAAACCATTGTCTTTTTACAGTAATGGGCTCATACAGTATTTATCCTGATGCGAATGACTTATTTCACTCAGCATAATGTCCTCCAGGCTCATCCACATTGTGAGATGATTCGCATATCCTTCATTGTTCTTTAATGTAGCATAGTATTCCATTGTGTGAATATACCATAATTTGGTTATCCATTCATCCGTTGATGGGCATTTAGGTTGTTTCCATCTCTTTGCTATAGTGAATTGTGCTGCGATGAACATAGGAGTGCATGTGTCTGTTCATGTGCTGCTGCCTCTCACCTCTTTAGGATGCATTCCTAGTAATGGAATTACTGGGTCAGATGGTATTTCTATTTTCATTTTTTTAAGAAAACGCCATACTGTTTGCCACAATGGTTGTATCATTTTACAGTCCCACCACCAGTGCACAAGAGTTCCAATGTCTCCGCAACCTTGCCAGCATTTGTTATTTTCTGTCCTGTTGAACTCTGCTGTTATTGCTGGGGTGAAATGATATCTCATTGTTGTTTTGATCTGCATCTCTCTAATGACTAAAGATCACGAGCACTTCCTCATGTGTTTGTTGGCCCCCAGCATATCATCTTTAGTGAAGTGTCTGTTCAAGTCTTTTGCCCATTTTTGAATTGGGTTGTTTGTCTTTTTGGTGTTGTTGAAGTTTTCTATAGATTTTGGAGATCAAGTCCTTTGTTAGATATGTCATAGGCAAATATTTTCTCCCAATCTATAGGTTCTCTTTTTATTCTTTTGACGAAGTCTTTCAATGTGCCTAAGAATTTAATTTTTAAAAGGTCCCAGTCATCTAGCTTCTTTTCTACCTCCTGTCCATTCTAGGTTATGTTTGATAGTCTATTTATGCCGTAAATTAGGGTTCCTAGATTTGCCCCTATTTTATCTTTGATGAATTTTATAATTTTGGGTTTTACATTTAAGTCTTTGATCCAGTTTGAGTTTGTTTTTGTGTATGGGGTGAAGTATGAGTCTTGTTTCATTTTTCTGCAAGTGGACAGCCAGTTTTGCCAGCACCATTTGTTAAGGAGGCTGTCTCTTCTCAATTTAATGGGTTTTGGACCTTTGTCAAAGATCAGCTGTCCACAGATGGATGGGTGTATTTCTGGACTTTCGATTCTGCTCCACTGGTCTGTCATTGTACCAATACCATGCTGTTTTGACTACTGTGGCTGTATAGTAGGTTTTAAGATCCAGGAGTGTGAGACCTCCCACCTTGTTCTTCTTCTTCTGAAGTGCTCTGCTTATCCAAGGATAAGAGCTCTACATAAATGGAAGAACCTGCCTTTTTATGGATAGGAAGACTGAATATACTGAATATACTTGGGAATTCTTACAGAACATACAAATACACTTGTAGAAACATTATTTGCCAACCCTATACATGGTCATAGGAGCTCTGGTAGTGTAGTGCCTAAGGCACTTGACTGCTAACCAGAAACCTGGCGATTCAAACCCACCGGCCACTCCTCGGAAGGAAGAGGGGGCAATCTACTTCTGTAGTGATACTGCCTCAGAAACCCAAGGAGGGGTCACTATGAGTCGGGCCCAACTTGATGGCACATAACAACAACAACACAATACATGATCATGGGCACACTCCTCTCTGCATAGACATACCTAATAGTTAAACAAGGCTGTAAATCTTTATGGAAGCAGACTGCTTTATCTTTCTTCCACAGAGCAGCTGGTGGGTTTGAACCACTGACCTTTTGGTTAGCAGCCAAATCCTCTAACCACTGTGCCACCAGAGCTCCTTAAGTAAATAATAACCCCTAAATAATGGGAAAAAAAGTATATAAATGTGTTTTGTGAATAGTACGACGTACAAAAGTAAGGACATTTCTTTATCAACTTGGGAAATATTTTTTACGTTAGTTTTTAAAAGTGCCCTCTTCAAAGGTAGGAATTAACTTTTTGGGCCTGTCTTATAGTATGGTGAGGTGTTGCTGAAGTTGTGTGAATGTCAAATTTTCCAGTTTGGTAGTTCTTAACCTTTTATTTATAAATCTTTTATTATGAGACTTTATTTTTTAGAAAACTTTCAGATTTACAGAAAAATTGTGCAAATAGTAGAGCTCCCGTATGCCCCTTCCCCCACACTTTCCTCTATTATTAATATTTTACATTAGAATGGTACATTTGTTACAATTAATTAACTATACACTGTTATTAACTAAAATCCACACTTTACTCAGATTTCCTTAGTTTTTGCCCACTGTTCTTTTTCTGTTCCAGAATTCCATCCAGGATACCACATTAAATTTAGTTGTTATGTTTCAGGATCCTCTTGACTGTGGCATTAACTTTTTATTTTCTGGATCACCAACCTAGTTAAAAATGATGAAAGCTTTGGACCTTCACAGAAAAATGTGCATGTCGATTCAGAAGGCCTGTGTTAGGAGGAAGGGGAGAGATTTAAAATACCCCCTTGCTCAGACTTGGGCTCCAGTTCAGGCCATACTTCTGTAATGTGTGACTTTCTGCCAAGCTGTTTACCTATATAGGCCTCAGTATCACCATCTGTGAAATGAGGGGTTTGGTTTACAGGATGTCTAAATCCTTTTCTAGCAGTGTGGAAGGCGGGCATTACCCCTAGCATTGTCAACATCTGAGAAACAAGGGCTGGTAACAGAAGACCAAACCAGGTCAGGCCAGGGAGGCAGGTAGGCTGATCCACAAGCAGGCTGCAGAGGTTCAGTGGGGAAAATAAGAAAACCTGGGTTTCGTTCTGTCACTGTGGATTTTTAAGTAATTTCCTTCTTCTGGGCTTTAGTTTCCTCATCTGCAAATTGTGGCGGTTCTGCTTCTGGCAGATAATGAAACTCCTGGGACCAAATGGGGGGAGAATGTACTTAGTAAGATGCTGTGTGAGGAATTATGATAAGAAGATGGAAAAGGGTGCAAGGGTAATGGGCAGGTTTGAGAAATGTGACGGAGGGCTGAGGAAAAAGGTACCTAGGCCACATCCCAGGACTCTCCAATCTCACCCGCACATTGCTAAGGTAATTCCTACCTGTCCAGACCCCGCCTCCACCTCGCCTTGCCTTCTCTTCTCTGTCTGCGACGTGACACACTTCATATGGCGGCCACCGTAGGATGATTTCCACAGCGCGAGGGCCGCGCGCAATCTCGCGCCGCCGGCTCTCACTCGGTCCTGCTCGCCCTTGACCTCTTCCAATTGGCTCATCACGTATGAGACGTAAATGCTCCATAGCCCACCTCCATATTTCCCTCTGGCTCCGTCCCGTCTCCTCCCCTTTCCTCCCTACGCGAGTAGAAACCTAACCAGCTCCCTTCTCGGCTGCGCCGGAGGAAGCCGGGAGAGTTGGCTAAACCAGGAAGGCGCTGGCTGTGGCGCGCACGCACGCGCACGTACGCACGCTGGCTGCCGGCTGGGCGGTAGGCTCGCGCCCGTGCTCACCGCGCGCCGCGCCAGAGGCTCGCGCATTCAGCAGGTTGGGCTGCGGTGGCAGCGGCAGCTGGGCAGCTGAGGCGCTGCGTTTGAGAGGTCCCAGACGCGTCTGCGGCGCCAGCTCCGCCACCCTTTGCCTCTCTCGTTCCAGTCTTCGTGCCGGGTGCTGCGGAAGGCAAGGGCGCTAGCTAGTGAACCCCGAGTACACCCGTGGCTGCTTCCGACACCGCCCTCCGTCCCTTCCCAGCCACGGGCCTCACTAAGTGCTAGGCGACTCTGCGGGGAGGCGGCGGCGACGGCTGCCAGTCTGTGGAGGAGTCCTGCCCTCCAGCCTTGCTCCTTCGCCGGGCCTTGCAGGGGCCGAGAGAGTTCGGCTCCTGCCTTTCCTCTTGCCTTTTTCGTCTGCCGGTTGGAGCAGCGTCGGTCCGGTGGTCTCTGGACTGAGGCGGCGGCAGCTCCTCCGGCTTCATCATGTCCGCGGGCGGAGACTTCGGGAATCCGCTGAGGAAATTCAAGCTGGTGTTCCTGGGGGAGCAGAGCGGTGAGTGCGCGGCTCCCCCACTCCTGGCAACTGGCCGCGGCTTCGCCGCACCGCCCCCAGTGCGGCCCTTCCGTCCGCGGAGGCTCCTTGCTGGACTTGCCTGCGCCCTCCGTTCTTCCCTCAGCCCTTTCCTCTGTTCGCCGTCCGTTTTTTGCTCCTGGCTTCTCGTCTTGATCCGTTGCTCGGTTTTTTATCTTTTACACCCTGGCCCTTACCTCCCTGACTCATTCGTCTTGTTTCCCGCAGCCCGGCTACCTCTTCTCGATCTGCCCTTCCCAATCTTCACCCCGCCCAGCCCCTACCTCCTGTCCATCCCTTTCTTTCTTCGGTCTCCGTCGTCTCCCCAACGCCAGCCCCCTTTCTTGAGCCGCACCCTTATTCCATGCTCTTTGCCCAGTTGATCTGCTCTTTGAGGCCCACCCCGGGCAATCCCACTCCGGGGAGCAGGCCCTCTTCAACCTTGGGCAAGGAGGGTGGGAGCTGGGCGTTGTTTTCCCCAGAGGCTTGGCCCTGGGAAGTGAGGATCCTATAGAAGGTGGGAAATGGGGGTCGTAGAAGATTCTTGCATGGTTTTCACTTTGGTGGAGAATTAGCCTGGGTTATAGTAGAAATGTTCTGAATTGGAGGCGACTAGAGGTTGGGGTGGTGGGAGTTAACGGGTGGCGGCGATGGTGCGATTTTTGCCCCTTCGATTGGGCTGTGGCTTATCGGGAATCCTCGTTTTCTTCTCTGACTTTAATCACTGACAAATCTTTTGGCATTGTTGATGCTTTTCAAATACTTGCCAGTTGCTATGTCATTATTTTATTTGGAATTTTTTACATCTCACCTCCTCTTTTTCTCCTTTCATCATGAAGTGGTGACTGATTCTTCTCATGATGGTGCAAACAGGAATTACTGGGGAAATGTTAATTATTTATTTGTTTTTGAGTACTTAGCAATTTTATATTTTGAATTTCTGTGAGAAGAGCCTTGAAAATAATGAACATCTTTCTTTTGTAAGATTTCCTTTGGGGTTAGGGAGGAATGAAGTACAGTAGTAATAGATTCATCATCTGGCTATTTAAATTAGATTTAAATATGTAATGCTGTTTCAGCTAAATTCCTCTTTTATGCTTTACATTCCATACTATATGAGGAGTGAAATTGTAATGCCATTTACATGATCAGGTTTCTGTTGTTGCTGTACTTTGTAATAGATGCATGATGCTAATTTAGTGATGGTTGTCTGTAAAATTACTTACAGTAATTCCAGTTTTATGCTGTATTATGCAAACTTGACCCTCGACAGTTTAGATTATCACCCTCCTTTGTTCTTCTCACACTTTTCATGACCATCTTTAAAATTCAGACATTGAGAGATTAGTTTTCTCAAATCATCAAACATTGAGTACCTAATAGATATGTTAAGTGAAGTTATAGAAAACATTAGTTAATTATTCTGATTGGAAGACTGATGATATAAATTCAGAGCTTTTGTTCATATACTCTGGTGGCATAGTGGTTAAAGCATTTGGCCGCTAACCAAAAAATTGGTGGTTGGAACCCACCAGGGGCTCCATGGGAGAAAAATGAGGCAGTCTGCTTTCATAAATGTTTACAGCCTTGGAAACCCTATGGGACAGTTTCTAGTCTTGTCGCATTGGGTTGCTGTGAGTCAGTATCAAGTCAGTAGCAGTGGGTTTGGTTTTGGTTTGAACTTTATACAAATTTGTATGGCATTAAAGTAGATTTATATTAGTTGCAAAATTGCCTCCAGCTGGTCCTGAGCAATCATTTTTTTTCTTTCATATGTAGATGATATTTTCCTCCCTTATCAAGGAAAAATAAGCCTTTGCTTATGGGTGTCCCTGAGGCAAGTTGAAGCTTGTTTCTTTAGGTTAGTAACTTGGTAGAACCTATGGGGTTGATCTTGGTCCAGCCATTTTACGTCAGTTTCAGGACTGACAGTATATAAAAGATAGCCTATGGGTTATTATTGATAAATAAGATCTAAAATGCTTGTTCTGTACTCTGGGGATATTATTGTCTGCCTTATGTTGTGATGCAGAGCTATTTAGTTTACATGAAAAACCTATTAATCTCTCATTAGGAATATTTTAGTGTGAGTAGAGATCTTAAGTATCAGCAGGTTTCCTTTGAATTTCTGGAGAATTTATATTCTAATTAATAGTGCAAAGTTTTATGGCTTCTCATTTCTTTCTTTAAACCTTTAATAACTTTTTATCGTAAGTATTACTAAACTATCTCCCCCCTCCAAAAAAAAAAAAAACTGCCGTCGAGTTGATTCCAACTCAAAGCGACGCCCTTTTGGGTTTCCCAGGCAGTAAATCTTTACGGAAGTAGATTGCCTGGTCTTCCTTCCGTGGAGTGGCTGGTAGATTTGAACTGCCAGCCTTCTAGCTAGCAGTCAAATGCCTTAGGCACTACACCATCTTAGTGTTTTTTCTTTTTTTCCTTCTTTTTAGTAGACTGTTTTTAGAACAGTTTTAGATTTACAGAAAAATTGAGAAGATAGTGCAGAGGATTCCATATACCCTGCACCCAGTTTCCGCTATTGTTAATGTCTTTGATTGATATGGTACATTTGTTAAACTTAATGAGCCAATATTGATATTATTAACTAAAATCCATAGTTTACTTAGATTTCTTTAGTTTTCACCTAATAACATTTTTCTGTTCCAGAATTCCATCCAGGATACTACGTGACATTTATTTTTTAAGATTGTGTTTACATGCTTTCTACACTGTGGAATTGTGAAGTTGATTATCTTTTGAGGCCATTATATAGTTAAGTAATGCCATTCTGTAGCTTTGACAATGAAACATTGATCTCTGTTTTCAAGGCAGTGTCTTTAGTTTTTATATATTCATTAGCAAAGATCTGTAGAATCCGTGCCATCTTGATGTAACTTTTCGTGAATAATTTATTTTTAAGTCTGTTAGAATTCCACAATTCACCTTTCAAAGACTATATGGCGAAGCCTCGTTTGTTAACTTAATGGCATTTACCACATTTATTATTATTTATTTTCCACAGTAGAATGCAAGCTTCATGAAAATAAAAACTGTTACCTTTCTTGTTTGTTGTATCCCCATTTTGTAGTGTAATGCCAGGCTGACATGAGGTGCTCAGAAATAATTGTTGAATGAGTAATGGTTGAATTTTATAGTAATCAAGGCTAATGTACTAATAGTCTTTATTCTTTGCTATGGTGATGATGTTGTCTGTGATTTTTTTTTTTAATGCAAGTTATTGGTTTAATGCTTTATAATTCTGTCATTTATTGTGTGAAAGGATACATCAGATACTGGAGGGTGTGAGAAGTGTGATGGGTCCTGATTCAAAAATTTATAGTTCAACCACTTTGCTTTTAAAAAAAAAAAAGAAGACGACGACTGACCTGGATTTATTTATTTATTTTTGAGTTGAGTGAAATTTTGCTTTGTTGAAGCTATCGCTAAAGTAAATTATTTGTTACTAGTATGGTATATAAAAGTTTGTCAAATGATATTAAAGATGTGTTGGTGGAACTGATTTGAAGTTAGATGATAATTATTTAGCTTATCAAAAATTTAAGGTGCTATGCTCTATAATGAAGATAATTGAGTTAAAGACAGCAGCCTTGGTAATCTTAACAAAGCCTGTTATGGTTCTTTATTTTTCAGTAAAATAAGTGGTTTGATAAAGAATGTTGAAGTACATGATTTGAATCTGAAGTTTACTTGAGTCTCTGGCTGTTGTCTTGAAATGCAGAGGCATTTTTGGGAATTCCATTCATAGTTTACCATAGAAGATTTTACTACATAAATACCAAGGGTTACACATTAGGCAAGTTAATAGCAGGCAGAAACTATAAAACTTTTGACTTTTTTCACTTTCTAACCAACTTTATATCAGTTTTTTTTTTTTTTT